TTTGATTTTTGGTTCTTCTGGTTAGGGTTTTAAAAACGAACTTCGTGTTTTTTTGGGTGATTTTCTTTTGAGCTTTTCTTGATGTTTCAGCGGTACGAAGAACGCGTTATCATTATAAGTTCCAAAGACAAAGAGAATTCGGTTACTGATGCGGAGAAAGCACTTCAGCAGATTGCAGCACTCATATTGAAGGTCATTCAATGCTAATTGATAAAATGTGCAATGGATATGAGAAATTTATTTGCTTTTGTGGCAGCCCAAAGGGGGGGTCAAGGCATTTGGCATGTGCTATCTTATTTATTACATTGTATAGTTTAGAGTCATAATTTGTGTTAGCTGCGGGTAGTGGTGGAAATCTAATTAGTTGATAATATACGGTTTTCAATTCTAGTAAGGTTAATCTTCTGGTTTGTCAGATCAGTAGAATTCTAATTGTAGCTTTAATTTGTATTAATTAATTGATTGCACGGACATAAATGATCACTCATTTGACATTTTTGCATAGCATTCTTAATGGGTTTAAGTTTTTAAGTGCCCCTAATCATTAACAAGCAAAGTTTTTTGGGGTCTTCGTCTTTTCTTAATAAGTTTTTTGCCCTTCACATATTAGTTTCCTTTTTTGTGTTTCCCCCTTTTTTCTTAATAAGGTCTTTAGTTTGACATATTCTTCACCCACTTATGAATATTGAAGAATTTTCTATGCCAAGGCATTGAGGAGGGGAGGGTATCTACATTTTGTGAGATGGGAAGTTGTTACCAATGGGTGACGGGGGTGCGCTAGGTCTAGAGAATTTGGCAAATAAGATTCTAACTCTATTGGGCAAGTGGTGGTTGTGCTTCTCTTTGAGCTTGATTCTTTGTGATACAAGATTATAGTGAGGAAGTATGGTTGTTAGTTTGAAAAACGGTTACACTTGTGCTCTTTAAGGGCATATTCAGTAGTCTTTATATAGCCATTTCCCATTGCTTACTAGGCTTTAATAACTGCATCAAATTTTCTATAAGGAAAATGGGGCCCGCATGTAGTTCTGGGAAGATGTGGATAGGTAAAGGATCCCTTTGACTTTCATTCCCTCTTTAATGCTTCAAAAATAGACATTGGTTAATTCAATGTTATCTCATAGTAATGATTTTCTTACCTTTTCTCTTGGTTTTGATTTTCATTTTAGAAGGCCTCTTAGTCTATATTGAGTCCCAATAGTTGTGTAATCTTCTTCTGTTTTGATATGGAAGTGCCAATCTCAAAGCAGATTAAGTTTTGTGTGATGTTGAGTCGATCACAAGACTTGTCTAATTTTTTTTTTTTAAAGATTTGTCTAATCTTCTTTTGACTTTGTTGGAGAAAGGTTAATCTCAAAGAAGATCAAGTTCTTTTGTATTGGTTTCTTTGGGGACGGTAAACATTGTGGTAATTGTCCAAAGATCTTCATCCATTATTTTGGATCCCTAGTGATGCATATTGTGCAGGAAGGCATCAAAGAATTTAGATCAATGTCACTTCACCGTGAAACTTTAAAACAGTTTTTACTTTTGGGGCACATTTTGGAGTCAATTTGGCTACAATCAGAGGTTGCAAAGAAATGTTGGAGGTGCTTATTAATAATCCTCCATTCCATAAAAGGTTTCAGGTTCTTTAGCCAGTGGCTTTTTTTTTCGCTATTTTGTGGAATTTGTTGTCAGAGAGAAATAGGAGATTTTTAGGGATACACATAAAAGTCTTGGGAGGAGGTCCGGAGCGTGGCAAATTTAAATGTTTCTCTCTGGGTCTTCTTGTTTAATGAGCTTTGTAAATATCCTTTACTTTTTGTTTTTAAAAATTGGAGCAATATCTTGTAATTTTTGCTTCTATTTGCTCTTTTGTTTGGGCATTTCTTTCCTATAGGCCCTTCCTTTGTACTTTCATTTGTCTCAATAAAAGTTGGTTTTTTTTATCCCAAAATAATGAAACATATTCCTTATCCATCATGGTTGGAAGCTAACTTCATGATTTTTTTTCCCTGCATTGACGTGTATAATGTGGTTGTGATGATGGGAGGCAATCGGTGGAAATGACTTATGAAAATGTTGTGTTGAAGACAACAATACAAAAATTTCAATAAGATGCTGAAAACTCTAGTCCACATTGATTCCCTTCAAAATTTTGATCTCTTTCCATATATCAATAAATTAAATATTTATATAGAAATTCGAAGATAATGCTTGAAAGTATTGATTTTCAAGGCAGCGTAAAAGCACTTCCATCAAATAGATGGTTCTTTTCTTTTTTTCTTTTTTGTTTTATTTTTTTATTATTGTTGTTTTTTTCAAATAACCATGCATGTCTGAGCTAGCCTACACGCACCTTGGCAAATCTTACTTTAACCCTCCTATATCAGGAGTCATCATTTGAATGTACAAATATGGATTGCCAATAACCTGTAAACTTGTTAAATTATACTTTTCGATAAGACATAAATTCCCCTTCTTGAAGTGCTGATGTTCTCGTGATAGAATGATAATGTCTCACATTTATTTTAGATTGTTTTTTGAGAAATTTGTATCTGCTGCTTCTTTTTTAATTATACTTTTACAGGAAGATGGTACCAGCATTGAGGAACTAAAGGTTGGATCAGGGCATGTGGCTGCCAATACTATAAGACTCCTAATTGCAGGATCTCAAGCAGGTTCTTTGATTGGTGCCTCAGGTCAAAATATTGAGAAATTGAGGAATTCTTCTGGTGCGACAATTACAATTCTTGCTCCCAATCAGTTACCTCTCTGTGCGTCTGCTCATGAATCAGACCGAGTGGTGCAAGTGAGTTCTTTCACATTGACGGAAGTTAGAATATCGATTATTTACCATTCTTTTTGGCTTCCTATCATGGTCATCACCTCCATTTTGTTTGTATTATAATAATATGACCAGTGTTACAACTATTCTTTATGCTATTTCATTTAAAAATTGAGTGAGATGTTTTAGTAGTTGTCCGCTACGAGTAGTGAGGTGAAAACAATCTTTTGGTTCTACTTTTATAATGTTTGTAAACGTCTGCTGACAAAATAAAATCTCAACTTTCATCCATAAGGTGGAGCTACTTCTTATTGGGTGATATTTAATAGTAACACACAATACACTTTCACACTTTTGTAATGTTTGGCTAGGAATGCATATTGTGCGGTCAACGTCATCAGGATATGAATAGGAGAGTGTTTAGTCTTTCTTTTATATTGTATCGTGGTTCTTAAGGGATAATTAATCTGAAGATACATTTTTATTAGAAAGAATCTTCACGTATATTCAATTATATGAATATTTTAAAATATAGTTATGTGTATGTGTACTTGCTGTCATTTATTAGTATTTTAATTGTAAAAGATCTATAGTTATTTTATAAAGATTGTAACTTAGAGTTTTAAGGGGGCTTGGGGCTTAGTAAAAAAAGAAGCATTGTGTAATTGTGCTGATCCAAATATAGTTCTTCTCTGAGAAACACAATTAGCTTGGAATCCTTGGATTGAAAGAAATTTGATCATAGCTTTGAGTTCAAGATTTGTAGGTGGGAGCTCTTCACGAGTCACAAATTACCTTGTGGAAGGAATTTTTGATAAAAGTTGTTTAAACTATCTTATTTTTCTCGAGATTTTTTATTTTTATTTATTTTTTTAATAATGAGAAACCAAGCTTTCATTGAGGAACTTGAATACAAGGGCATACAAAAAAACCAACTTCTCAAAATGAGAACCTAACAAATGGACCCCAATCCAAAATAATAAAACTTCCTAAGTGATAACTACAAATAGTTTAGTAATCGAGGCCCATAAAGAGGTATTAAATCTAACATCCTCCCACACGTCTTTTCAGGACTTCTTCACTTCTCTGAAAATTATACCATTTCTCTCAAGCCATAAATCTCCCGAAATAGCAAAAAAACAAGTATGGAAGAGAACTATCCCCTTATCACAAAAGGGAGGGTAATGGAGAACCTTCTCTATCATAGAACAACAATCCCTGTTAATGCCTACAAGATCTCAAAAGCTGAAGCAATGCGACTTCCTAAAGCCTGAGCAAACAAAAACCTGGAAAAAAATATGTTCAAGATCATGTGACACAAGTTTGCACAGATTGCACCACTTTGTGCCCAATACAAAGGAGGAAGGCATAATGAAGGTCACTGAATGCAACCTCTTATCTTCCCCCTTTAGAAAAGAAAGCCTTCTTCCAAGAAGAAAGATGCTTTTGAACCTTTTCCAAGATAGGGTCCCAAAATGTCAACCTCCTCGAATTGCTTCCCAAGGGGAGCCTGAGGTAAGAGGAAGGAAAAATATTCACCTCACAACTCCTCAAGACAATTCTATTGGATAGGTTTTTGAAGTCCATTGCCTCCCTTCTTAACATGATAGGAGAGGATTTTGGGGATTTATGAGCCTGGTTGGTATTTGTCATAATCATAACCATTAGGATATTTAAGGAGATTCTAACGTCAATTAATGACTGGTTGAAAAATTCTTTAGAAGTTAGCTAAGATATCCTTTGATGAAGTGTTTATTTCTATATTTATGTGTAATGTTGAAGACTTACTCAATGTAACACGATTTTAGCCAATATTCCAATCTATTACATGCCTTTGTTTCAAATGCCTCCAAAACTGTGTAAGCAAATTGAAAGGGATATGCATCTTTTCCTGGGAAGGCAACTCGGAAGGGAATTTGAAACATTTAGTATGTTGTAATATCTCTTCCATTTCACTTGAAGAAAGTTGGCATGGGCATTGGTAATCTCAAACAGAAAAATCAAGCTCTTTTAGCTAAATGGGGTTGGTGATTCACTCAAGAAGCTACTTCTCTTTGGCTTTTAGTTGTGGTCAGCATCTATGATTTGGATCTGAACGATTGACACTCTTTGGAAAGGAAAAATGGTTGTTTTATAAATGCCCCTGGTTTAACATTTTCAAGCATTGGAGTAATGTCCAGCATCATTCCTCTTTTAAAGTGGCAAATGGTAGACGTATACTCTTTTGGCAAAATGTTAGGTTTGGTGAACTTTGTGTTGAAGGATTGATTTTCTCACTTGTACAGGGGTTATTAAATCTAGTTTTTGCTCCATTTCTGTTAATTTGGATGGTCTTACATCCTCTTGGAACCCTTAAACCCATAGAAGCCTTAAAGACTTGGAGGACAAGGAGTATACTGCTCTCCATCTATGACAAATGTGGATAGATCTCTCATATCAGAGGAAACTCTTTTGGTAATGGGAATTCTAATTGCCCAAAGAAGGTCAGTGTGTTTGATTGGAATTGCAGGGAAATTTGAATACCTCAGATATCCTTCTAAAGAAGCTCCTCAACTTGTCTCTTCAGCCTTCTTTTTGTGTTATGGGTTACTCTCCCAGCAAATGTCAGGCTCATTTATGCTTCCAATGCCCTTTTGTATTGAATTGTTGGTGGTTGCTGTTTTCTTTCTTCAATGTTATTTGGGTTTTTTTTAGAAGACTCAAAAGGCAATTTGTTGCAATTGTTGCACAGTCCTTCTCTTTCCCCGAAGGCTGGGTTAGTGTGGTCAAAGCCATTTTGTCGGAATTATGATTAAAGAGGAATCAAAGAATTTTTCACGACAAGGATTCGTTTGAATGTTTTGAATTAACCAAGATCAAAGTGGTGTTCTATTTCATCTTTGTTTAAGAACTATTCTTCCGGCATTATTTATGGTTCTTGGAATGCCTTTATTTATTCTTCTTAGCTTTTTGGTATTTCCATGTATTTCTTTCCGGATCTTATTTTCTCCTTTGTTGCTTTTCTCACTTCTTTTGGAGTTTGTATCCTTGAACAATTTTATTTATTTTCATACATCAATGAGAATTTTGTATGTTGTTCAAAAAAAAAAAAAATCATAGGATTTTAATATCATAGGTGATTACCATGGTTTGAATTTATTTCCACAAAGTCCCTTTACTTCTGAATGCCACTAGGCCAAACTCAAGGTTGTTTGATTAAGAAATTCAACAAGCTGCAGCCATCCCTTTTAGCACTAACACTTTCACTTGATCTAATATGAGTGATTCCGTCCTTACAATGATCAATAGATTTTTTATTTCCAAAAGTTGGCAAGGTTTCTTTGACATGGTTAAGGTGATTAGACTCCCTTGAATCACAGCAGATTACTTTCCCATTTTCTTCTTTTGTAAAACTCTAGGTAGATTCCTAAACACTTCTGGTTTGAGAATGTCTGGATGGAGCATTCATCCTTTTTTCCCTTTTTTTCCTTTTTAATTTTTTTATATAAAAAAAGATGTTGAATCTTGGATAAGTGTGATGTGATTCAAAAGTAGTGATTTCATTAACGTAAAAGTACAAACAACTAGGAGGAGTTCAAGAGCCTCCCTTTTCTTCAGAAAAGCACGCCATCATAAAAGATAAGACCCTTTTCATCTGCCCACAATTCACTTGTCTGAACACAACTTTACACTTGGTCGGTAGAATGGGTCTTGCCTGACCCAACTTACTGATTTTCAATTTAAGCTCCTACATTTCATTTCTACTTTCCTTATTATATTGTCCTTGTATGTGTATCTAGGAAGATCCTATCATTATCTTGCCCCAACAAAGTTACCTTGTTCTCAAGTAGCATCTTTTTCTGACATGACATGCCTTCCCACAAGGTTAGAACCTTAGCTGCATTAACCTCATCATCAATATTTTCGACCCCAAAGACTATTGCAGACTAAAATCTACCAGAAGAAGCATTTGTTATAGGGTTTGGGCATATTGGTAATTTGAGATGTTGAAATGAGGCCTTCCTAGCAAAGTGGTTGTGGCATTTCTCTTTAGAGACAGAGTATCTGTGGCGTAAGGTTATTGCTAGTAAATATGGTTACCATCCCTATGATTGGGTTTCAGGTAGGGGTTTAAAAGGCACTTTTAGAAATCCTTAGAAAGAGATTGCGGCTGGGTCCTTTCTTCTCTCAGTTTAACAAATTTTGTGGGGATGGGGCTAATACGTTTTTCTGGGAGGATATTTGGTTGGGAGATAGGCCTCTCTGTGTCCAATTTTCCTCTTCTTTACCACTTGGTGTCTTTGAAATTTAGTTCGGTCGCATCTTTCCTTCCTCAGGGTTCCTCTTCCTTTTCCTTTGGCTTTAGTCGGCCTCTTTCCCCTAGAGAGTCGACGAAATATTCTTCTAATCTCTTTGTTAGTTGATCGGGTGGTGAGTCTGAGTGGTAGGGATGTTCTTTTTTGGATTCTTGATCTTGTGGGAGGTTCTCTAGTGAGTCGTTTTTTCCCTCCTTTGTGACCTGTCTTACTTGTAAGAGGCCTGCCTTGTCCTTGCTTTGGAAGGTGAAAGTCCCAAATAAGATTAGATTCTTTGTTTAGCAAAGTGAACACTTTGGATCGTGTCACGAGGCTTTCTTTTGTGGTGCTGGGGCCGTTTTGGTGTGTGTTGTGTAAGAAAGATGCTGAAGACCTGAACCATATGTTATGGAATTGTTATGGAATTGTCAATATGCTTGTACTAATTGGGATTGCTTCTTCCGATTGTTGTTCCATCTTAGTTTGGCCAGACCTAGGGGGTGCTATGATATGATTGAGGAGGTTATTCGTCACCTCCCTTTTGTGGTAATGGCCGGATTCTTTGACAGGTGGGTTTTTTTCCACTGTAATTTGGGGTCTTTAGTTGGATAGGAACAGCAAGACTTCTAGGGATCTTGAGTGTCCTCCTGAGATGCTGTAGTCCACTGCTAGGTTTAACGCCTTTGTTTGGGTGTCAGTTTCTAAGGAGTTTTGCTCTTACCCTTAGGTCTTATTTCTTTGGATCGTAGTCCATTCTGTATAGTTAGCTTTCAAACTATGTTTGTGGGCTGTCTTTTTGTATGCCCATTGTCTTTGGGCCTTTCATCCTTTTGTACTTGTTCTCTTCCATCTTTCTCATGAAAGCTGGTCCACAATTAAAAAAAAGCTCCAAAAAGTCTATCGGCTGGACTCTTCCCCTTGGAACGTTCTTTTGGTTCTACGGAAAGTCTCCAAAGAAGCACAACCACCATGCTGATGCAAAGAACACACCAGTTAGCAAACTAGCATTCGGCATCCTTCTCTGAAGTCTACAAGCTGTACTCAAATTCTCATGAGCTAGAAGGGTTTAGCTCACTTCTTTGAGGTTGTATCTTTGAACAATTTTGTTTCTTTTCATTAATGAATGAAAAGTTCGTTTCTTGTTAAAAAAAAGAAAAAAAAAATTTCTCATGAGCTAAAATCCATAAGTAGACTTCAACCTTTTTTTTTGGAATTTTGACTCTCCAGATGGATTTAGAGTAAAGCAGGCTTAGGTAATCTCTGCTATTCATAAGCTTAGGGACTAGAGATTTAGTAGAAATAAGCCTACTCCCCTCAAGCATCCAAACTCTGTGGTCCTCTTGATTACTCACCACTAGGCTACCCAAAACATTGGATGGATCGACCCATTCTTCCACCTCTTAAACCTGAAAATTTTCTTCTAAACAGAAGATCCCAACCTGACAGGCTCTCTAACCAACATTAGGCGGTGGTGAAACCCTGAAGAGGGGAATTTGAGATCCAAGGATCTTCCCAAGAGAATTTTATCTCCTTTGCCATCAACTGCTCTATACCCACATGTCAGCCTTCTGGCAGCGGCTAGAAATAGACTTCCATGGACCTTTAGATCTACAGAAACTTTTAGGGAAAGGGATCCAATCCTTTGAAGATAAATTATATTGCTGGCTATGATTTCCTCCACAGTGCGTTGAAAATGCCATCGTCACTTCACCAACAGGGCTGTGTTTTCAGCCTTAACCCTCTAATCCAGCTCCTCCTTGGATTCAGCAGCCCCCTTCCCCCCACACCACTTTTACGGTACTCCAGGAAAAATATTTGAATAACTTCTCCAATCTGGTGATTATCTTTTATTGGATTAGCAAGTAAAAGAAGTGTTTAGGGTGGGTCCAAAATATTGAAATTAATTAGTATATATCTTTCTTCCATCTACTGTGTTCTCCTTCTGTTTGTTTTTAGTGAGAATTTTCCAGTTTGTGAGATGGCTTCCTACGTTGTAAATTCAAACTTCTTATTTGCTTGAAGAAGTTCAATTGCATTATTACAAGTCAACTGCATAGAACCTTTTTCAACCAGGTTATTCAGTCGATCAATAATTCCTTTATCAATCCATGTATTGAAGAAATCCAAGTCTTTTTTTGCAATTTTCATGAATATGCCTCACCGGCTACAAACAAAACCTTTTAGAACATGAATCTTGCATTGAACTGCATTTACTATTTATTTGAGGTAGTTTTTCTGGGGTAGGAGTGGACTCTGTGCCAAGCTTTGAGAACTGTGTAAATTCTCCCTTTTCTCATTTTCTGTTTCTCTCTAGAATTTTCTCCTGGTGAATTTTGTAATGCTTAAGTTTCTAGTTCTATGCAGTTTCGCTTAATGAATTGTATACACCATTTCTGATTATGGTGTGCACTCTTTTACGCTCCTTCCTAGTTTGTGTTGTTTCTGTATTTCATTTTTTTTGTTCGAGAACAATGAAGAAACAAAAACTTTTCCTTTGTATCTGTATTTCATATAATGAAATGGAAGTTGTTGATAACCTTTGGTGTGGTAGAATAGTATTTCAGGAACAACTCTACAAAAACTTGTTTCTCATGGGATTTTGTGCATTTTTATATTGCCAAGAAGTATTAAATGAGTGCTTAGGCATTTTCAAGGAGTATTAAATGAGTGTTAGTGCCTGCATGGTATCAAACTTCTAAATGGTAGTTTATATGGGTTGTTGTTGTTTTAAGTTATCGTATTAAAATAAATTTCTTTATTTTTTAAAATTTACTTAAGTTAACTTTTATTTAAATATTAAATTGTTTTGTTCACTTTTTTACCTATAATATTTATTGAAAATTTATAATTTATTATTTTATCAAGTGTGCCTTGCTTCACTCAGGCAATGCCTTTTTGTCGCCTCTTGTCTTGAGGTGATTAAAAGCCTTGTCGTTTTAGAGTGCAGCTTGCGTGTTAAAAACACTGATTTATATATTTGGTGTTATGATCTGATGCTAATGATTGATTATGTTTCTTCTGGGATTCAGATATCAGGTGATGTTCCTGCAGTTTTGAAGGCTCTTGAAGAGATAGGCAATCAACTAAGGTCCTATATTGAACAATGTTTCAGAGTTTACTTGATTCATGCGCACTTCGGATGCTTTTACATAAACTACACTGAATTTCTGGAATACAAGATAATTTCAGCAGATGTTTCTTGAGATTAATCAAACTTGGGCGTCCTATTTTCTTTCTGTATTTGTAGTGATTTAGGCATGAATTCAATTTCAGGGTAAATCCACCTCGGCAAGTCATTTCTGTTAGCCCAACATACAATTATAATGCAATGCACCCTCCACAGTCATACATGGATCCAACCTCAGGTTATTCAGTGGTTTTCTGTATCGAATAAATCATTTCTGATTCTGTCTTTTGTGTGTCTGTGAAGTTTTAATATTTTTTCTTCTAACCACATCATCTTTAGGAAAACCAATCTTGCAGTTAATTATGTAACCTTTGAGATGTTGATATCGGAGACGTTGGTGGGTGGGTTGATTGGGATTGGTGGCTTCAACATATCACGGATCAGAAATGAATCTGGGGCTACAATTAAGGTTAGAATATCCTTGTTGTGTGCGTTTTTAGAGGTCCTTCTGAAATTCTATTTCTTGAAATCTACATCCTTACATCATTATTTGCAGGTTTGTGGTGGAAGAGGTGAACAAAATTACAGGCAAATACAATTTGGTGGAAGTGCTGAGCAGGCATGACTTTTTCTCTTATTTTTAATGAACTAGCACTAGGTGTTATGGGAAGGAGGGTGATCTTGTTCTTGTGTTGATTGAGTTGTCAGATTCTAAGGCTGGGTATATCTTTTTTTATATATGAAGGCAGGGTACATAGATCATAGTTTCTTTAAAACTCAAGGACAATTTATTGAATAGATCTGTTCAAGTAAGGTCGTATCCAATCATAGTTTCTTGTTTTTAATCTAATTCTGAGGGCTGGGTGATATTGTTTTGCAAATTTCTTGATTTCAATCTAATTTTAAGGCTGGGTGATCTTGTTCTGCATTCTCTCTCTCTCTATATTTTTTATTTAAGCTCCTCTGGTTATTAGCTATTTGGTTTACTTCTCTGTTTTTCAGAAAATAAGCTTGTCTGTTTAAAGATCTAACAGCTGAAAAAATTATGTGTTTCTTTTAGAATATATTGACCCTGAAGTGGTTGATTTGATGATAGATGCCAATCCGATATAGAAGTATAATTTACTATATTTTTTCAGTTGGGCATTGTCAAACAACGTAAATAAATTGTCTGGAATTTTCTTGGATAAACCAACTTTAAGAATTTAGGTCTTCTAGAAGTGTGCAGTTATCTTCTTGTTGGGTTATTTGCTCTAGAGCAAGCACTTCTTTTGAAAGACAGTGTGGGAAGTTATTTTGGCTGCTCTTTTTCGAACATTTTCTTGGTCGATAAACATTCAAGTATCTGATTTTGGACTTATTTTTGCTCCTAGATGCACCAAATAGGGATCCTTTTTATATTTTTCATTATTTTTTCTTGTATATACTATGTTTAATAAATTCCTTTTATCTATAAAAGCAACTATATTTTATTACTATTATTTTCTCGATCAAATTGAAAGTTCCACGGTATGCCAGAAATAGAGTAGTTTCAAAATATCTTTGTAGAGCATGCCTTTTTTTTTTTTTCTACACCTCTTCTCTTTCTCTCTCATTTCTTTTACGCTGAAGGATCTTCATTTAAATTGTTTGGATGGTTTACAGGTAGCTTTGGCAAAGCAGAGGGTTGATGAATATATTTATTCTCAATTGATACGACAAGCTGGTGTTCAACAGACAGCGTAGGTTTTCCTTGATGGTTCATATTCTCTCTCTTCCCCTCCCCTCTTTCTACGTGTGAAATAACTCTCGTGTGGTAGTTTTAGTACTAAGATCTTATCCCAAAAAGAGAAAAAAACTGTAGGAATTTAATTTTATTGAAATCGAAATATCATGTTGTCTTAGTAACAGGAAAGTCAAAATGTCAAGTTATATTCAGTGTACTTTTTAACTTAAAGAGACAATAACTGAGTGACGCTTGAATTGGAAACGGTGAAATGAATGGTATGACTTTGTTAAGCCACACAACATGTTGTATTTTGCTTTAATCATGAATATGTAACCATGGGTTTGGGGTGATTTTTGAAAAGGTGAGAAGGGCTTTTGGAATTCTAAAAACAATAAAAGCGCTTGGTACATTTAGAAGCACTTTAATAGTGCTTATAAGAATGTGAGAACTTTATTGGTGCTTATAGGCAATTTATTGTGAAAGAAAATTTTAATGTGGTAGCCTGATCATCAAAAATTTAATATGGAACTTTATTAGTCCACACAAAAGTTTCTGTGCTTTCAATTATAGAAGTCAAGTGCTGCACAAATTGAACGAGAAATTTTGTCGAGGTTAAATTACCATTTTAGTCCCTATGATTGTGCTTTATTTTGTATAGATCTTTCAATTTGGTACCTATGGTTTGGTTAGATCTCTCCTATCGAAATGTTAGACAGTTTTCTGGCGTGGCATAATTTCTTTAGATGCTAGCTCGTTGCCTCTCTGTCATGCGCCCATACGCCAAATAAGACAACTGTCTAACTTTTGGTTATGGCAAAGACCAAATTGAAGCTTTTTATAACCATTAGGAGTAAATTGAAGCTAAGCAAGCAAAATATTATGGTCATACAAAAAAAGAAGTTCCAATGTGTTGGCTGATTTGGTACGATGATCTTTTCAGTCTGCAGATGTGGTGATATCCCAAACACTAAGAATTGCTACATCTTTTAATGGCAACATCTCCATGTGGAAGCTGTGAAGGACAAAGCTGCTTCCTACAAACTTCAATCTGGTGGTTGCTGAGAGTGCTGTGGGATTTTGGAATAATGGCTTTTTCCCCCCTTAAATGTGACATATTGTAATTGTGGCAAATAGTTGTCTGAATATTTTCTACATCAACTTCTCAAGAGCTTCTTCTACAATAGGCTATAAAAAGGCTGCTAGCAAAGGAAAAGTTTGGCTTTGAACTGATATCCAATGTCTAATCTGCTGAGGTGGTGGTCATTTATTCTAACAATCTTAACTTTTTTAGTATCAAAATGTCGGGATAACTCACATTTCGGTTTGGGTCGATTTTAGAGTTGAATCAATATCGAATTTCTTACTTTTCAATATTAAATTAGGAACAAAACTGAATTGCTAATGAAGTTCAAACCACGTCGAACTGAATTGTACTGCAAACTGACAGTTTAATTTGCTTGGTTTGGTGGCTTCTTAGTGAGGATTTGATGGCACGGGTTGGGGAAGTTTTGAACGACTTGAGAACGAAGGTATCGTATCGATGGAAAATATAAGTCTATGAATTGTCGGGGTTGTAGCTGTGCGTGTGGTGTGGGCCTTTACAACGGAAACCCTAAGTTAAAGTAGAAATTTAAAATAAGAGGATAAGAAAAAACCTAAATAAAAAATACAAACTAAGGTGGTAGTGTCACTTGAGGGGATAATTTTGATAATAGTGTAATTTTAGAAACAAATTATAAAAATAATATAGATTTTAAAGTAATAATAAAACAAGAATAACAAAATGAATGTAATTTAAATAAAAAATTATAAAATTAAATTAGACATCCAACCTATTGACAAAAATAGGTCCAATTTCCAGCCATTACTCACAACATACGTGTTTTTTAAAAATATTTATATTTTACAAAATAAAAAATTATTTAATTATTAGTATTTTTGTTGATCCACATGCATATATACACACCTAACAACAAAAATATATTTTATAGAAAAAAACAGTCCAATTTATAGCATGTGCAATGTGATTGCACATATGCGATTTTCTTAAAACATTTTATAATATATTTATATCTATGTTAGTTTTTTTAATTTTACAAACCAAAACATTATTTATTTTATTAGTATTTTGACTATTTTGAATACATAAGTGAAAATATAGATCCATAGGTATACATCCACATCCATAATAATAAAATAATATATATAAAAGTAAAAATATATCAGTCCAATTTATAGAAAAAAATATCACTATACGTAATAAAAACATACAAATCAAATAATTTTTAAAAAAATTCTTAAAAGTAAAAGAAAAAGTTTTGAAAAAAACATGATAATGGGGAGGGAAATCGCAGCATTGCATGCTTTGACCCATGAGGCTCCAGCTCACAATACAGGGAAGTCGCTTTGAAACTATGTCATTTATTTTTAAAAATACATTATTTAAAAAAAAAATCCTTACTAAACCTAAATTAAAAATAAAATTTGAAATAAAGTAGTGTTGAACACTTGTTACTAGCCCAAGAACTGTCTCTATACCTATGAAATAGGTATACTGGTTCGGTTCGTTTTCTAAACCTTAAATCCAAATTGAACAAAATATTTCCATTTTCAAAACATTATGAAACCGAACTGAACTGCAAAATTGAATAGTTTTATTGGCTTCGATATGTTCCTCTAAAGCAAACTAAACATTTTCTTTTATTATTTTGTTTACACATTTTAATCCATTTTGAAGGAAAAATATCATGTTTACTTTTGTATCTACAATTTTGATCTAAAGCATTGATTTTTTTTAATCAATTATAAACTTCAAGAAATAGTGAAACTAATATCTTTAATTACATGAATTTTATTAGTTTCTCAAGATTTGTGATTGCTACGAGTATAATATTGTAGTTCATCAGATTTTTCTCTCTTTTTTTTTTGGTACTAATTGTTCTAGTCAGGTTTGGTTAATCTTTAGCTGGATTTTGACACATCTATTATATTGAGTTTTGGTGTTCTTTTTATATGTTTGATTGGTTTGTTTAGAAGAAATTGTTAATCTACTTATAAAAAGGTACCTCTGATGGAAATTGGAAAAAAAATAAAGTTAGCATGCTGTGTTTAGTACCTTAGATTTTGAGGGATTTCTAAATTTCCATTGTTTGGTGGTACCTCATCACTTTGAGTGATTTGAAATACTTAAAAATTTTATGGATAAAAATGGTTCCATTGGATTTCATAGAATTAAATTACCTATTTAACCTTGTCATATTTTAGTTTCTAATTAAAAAATTTAGCTTAAAAGCCTAAGTCAGTAGCATTTTTATTTTCTTTTCCTTTCTAGCAAACATCCAAACAAATATCAAACAAAATAAAAGTTTTAAAATCGTTTCTCGGATTTCAAATCACGAAATTTAAAATCATTTTTTAAAYTTTGTTGACGCCAAACAAAAGGTTAAACTCATTGAGATAAAGAGTTTTTTTTCTCTCTCTTCAAATCTTAGTTTTAAGGACTTATTTGATAATATTCCGGTTCTGTATTTTTTATTTTACGTTTCTTGTTTTTTTGTTTATTTTTTCTAAAAAAGAAATAGGTTTGGTTACTATTTTTTATTTATTTATTTTATTTATCAAGAAAAATAGAAATGTCTTTGATAACTAATTTTTCTGTCGTCTTCTCTTAGATTTGAAAAGAAAAAAATTAAGAAAAAAGCTTGATACTTACTCAAGAACAAAAAAAAAATCTTGATAAATAATGTAATTATAATTAAGAATTGTTTATTGTATTTAAAAAAACTTACTCATAATAATTTTTTGGCAAAATAATTATTACAGATACCAACATAACTCAACGGGTTAAAACTAGCGTTTTTTTAAAGCTAGAGGTGTACCAAAGCGAAAAAGTCATCTAAGACCTAGGCACGAACAAAAAAAGCTTTGTTTTGTGAAGCACACCCAACTCTAAGCTTGAGCAAGTTCAATTGATTAAAACATATATTCTCGAGACGATGGACTTGAATTCCTATGCATGTAAAATAAAATAAAAATAATAGAAAATATATAGGTAATAAGCAAAAAAAAAAAGCTAGTGTTTTGCGTTTGCGGTAAGAAATTCCTTCGGAACTTTCTACTGTCGAAGGCGAAAAAAAAAAACCTAAAATGCAAGGGTTTTTGCTTTAAGGGTACATAAATTATATATATTTTTAAAATCTACAAGTGAAGCTGTAAGGCATTGGACTTTTGTGGTTAAGAGTTTCAGGAGAAAGCGAGACACTGGGGGAGACGACATCTCATTGGATTTTTCCAAACACATTATTTACCACTTTAAAGAGTAAGGAGACTCCTCCTTGTATCTATTCAAGATCGGCTTTTGTTGTTGATGGATGTTTTATCTACAAAAGAGCTTGAAGTGGCGTGTGTTAGCTTGTGGGCAATCTGCTGGCATGATACGAACGCAATTCTGGACATATGAAAGATATCGAGGCTAACACCTCTATTCGGAGGATTGATGGCTCTGCTCGTCACAGCAATCATATCCGAGGCGAAGAAATTGTCTGGAATCCCCCTCGGCCTAGTCGTTGCGCAGCGGTCCGTTTCTCGGCTTCACTTTGGAATAGGGGTGATTTGCAGAAATGAGGAAGGCCAAATACTTGCTGCAATGTCAAACAATACAGGAGTGTACTACAACCTTTAATTGTGGAATTGTTGGCAATTCTTGAATGTCTGAGGCTTGCCGATGGTTTGAACATGCCTTCCATTCGAATTGAATTAGATTCTCTTCAAGCAATTGAGCTAATTAATCAAAGGGGAATATGAGATCCTCGGTAAAGTTGGTACCTGGGCAGAGGATATCCTCCATTTTTCAAAAATTCTCTCTTGCATGTACGAAGAGGGGCCAACAAAGCTGCTAACAAGCTTGCTTCCGGCGCTCATTGTTATGAGGCCAATTTGTTATGGCTTAATGATTCGAGAATTTACAGCAAGTGTCCTTATTTATCAATAAATATTAAAAATGTCTTATGCTTCTTGCCTGTCAAAGGATCTTTGAAGTCTTCGACTTTGAGCTTGTTGAAGAATTCGACTTGTTTATAAAGTTATTTGGCTTGTAGTTTGATGAAGACTTTGTGAAGTGTTGGTTTTGTGCTTGTGAAGTTCTTTGGCTTTGTACTTTGTTGAAGTTCTTCGGCTTTGCACATGTAACGTTCTTCGGCTTTGCGACTTGTTGAAGTTCTTTGGCTTCGTGGCTTATGAAGTTCTTTTGCTTTGTAGCTTGCGAAGTTCTTCGGTTTTGCAGATTGTGAAGTGCTTCAGCTTGGTAGCTTGTTGATGTTCTTCAATCAATTTGATGAAGACTTTGCAGTTTGATGGAATCTTCAAGTATTGTTGCTTGGGAGAGAAGATCTAATGTTCTTGATGTCTCGTACTCTTCAAGGCTTGTTAGCTTTGGATGCTTCCCTTGACTCTGAATTATTGTAGACAATTCTGAGTGCTCTGAATCTCCAATTCTTCTAGCTTCTTCCGACCGACCAAAATGAGATGTGACCCCTCTATTTATAGAGCTTTGATGGGTCTTATATGAGCCATGGGCTTGGGCTCAGTCTCTTCATGGGTTTTGAGCAAATTAGTTGATTTCATCGGACCACCATAAGAAAGACACGTGACATAATTTGATTAGTTGATTTTAAAATTAATTTAGGACGCATGTAACTTTACCATTGGTCCTAAATGTAAGTTTGATTTTGTGACGTGGCATTTAGTAATTAGACGAAATTTCTCCTTTTAACAAATGCCCCCTTTTCGAATACATGTATATTTGGGTGTAGATCTCGAAAAAGTAATATGTGACATTTGACAAAAAAAATGAAATATGTTTCATAAATTTGATTTAATGTACATATTAGTATTGACACCGAATTTTGATTTTGATTTTTTTTTGACAAATAATCAAAATAATAATTTTGGCCACAAAATTTTGATTTTTTTGACTTTTGTGCCAATATTGGGGGAAATTGGGATTTTTGACCCCTTCCAATAATCATTTTGGATTTTTGACCCCTTTTGATATTTACTTATTCATGACCCCTCTACTTCAGTTTTCTGACCTTTCC